TTTTAATTGACGAAAGACGAAACTAGGTTTCGCGTTTCGTCAGCGCGAAACCTCGAGGTTTCGTCTAACAACTATACCCAAACCCCCTAAAAAAAAGGCGTAAAAAAAGTAAGTTCCTCACACAGAATATTAGCCAGAAGACTACTGCGCTTGCTACCTAGTCTTGGCGTATAGCCAAATTCTGATTGAAGTAGGCGAATCCGTTCAGGATCGTCTAGCCTGATCGATTGCCGACGAGATTAAACTGTATAAGGAACAAAAGAATGGAAAGGGGAAAGAGAAAGTTAATCGACAGTCTTCCACAGGTCCATGGGTAATGCCCGTTATAAAAACATTCGAACTATTCTCCCTCCATTGCTCCTACTCTACCTAAACCAAATGTACCAGAACTTGCTTATTTGCCTTTGAAACGAGTTTACATATAACCCAACCTTTGCTACAACTCTGCTCTATGTCCCAACCCCAACGCATGTCGTAATGCATTTCAACTATCCTCCCAATAACTCACACTGTTTCCTGTCTCCTTTGAAACGAGTTTACGTATAGTCTAGCTTTGCTACGACTCTGCTCTGCCAACTAATAACGCCCAGCCTCTTGCAATATAGCACAAAACCAGTAACAGTATTCAAACTCTTCTCCCCGTTGCTCCTCTATCCTCCCAATAAACGTGCGCTGCTTACCTTGTTTACCCTGCGTTATGAGAAATTCCTTATAACAGTCTGTGGTCGCTTCAGGGTTCTCTTGACAGTATTTAACACAGAAGTCTTTATAATCGTTGTAGGCAACATCTGCTTGTTCCAAGGTTGCGCTGGGACAGTCTTCTTTGTATTTGAAAAAGAACACACGACTCTCCATTACTTTTGCATCCGCGTCCATGTCTAGATGTTTTCGTATGTTTAGTGAAAGATAGCAATAAAAGAAGAGTCGCGATCTGCGCCCGCCCAACTCAGCCCTGTTTATACGTTTTACTTACACAAACATGTGATACTTCTCCGTATTGAAGCGCCGAATCAACTATAGATCGAGAACCCTCCCATGCCTTTGTCAGAGACTTAGGAGAATGAAGACAAAGGGGAAAATCCCCTTTATACGCTTCTTTGCATATCACGTCACGTTATGGAACAATGTTGTATTGTATTCTGCTACTACGTAATGCAATTCTGCTTTCGGAAGTGAAGCAATTGTTTTTTACGTGCGTATTGTATACCAATTTCAAATTATAAGCGTCATTGAACACCACGGACTTGAAACAGTTAATTTGCCGATCAAACGGCTGCTCTCCTAATGATTTATTCTAGTGTTGCCTATTTACGATGCAGGTTTTGAATTGTGTCGGATTTGTAGTACTTGGGGCGCAGCGAACCAAAATTATCGTATTTATTATTATTTCTTACTCGAACAGTATATAAAGAATCATGGAGATTATCGATAATATTAACTATAATAGAGAAACAAATATTTGCTTTATGTTTCTAGTTTTCGTTTCTTTCTTGGTTCATTCTGTGTTGGTATTAATGTTCGTTTAGTAGTTATAATTTTCCTTTCTTCTTGGTAAATTTCATAAGTAATTTTTTCCTTATCTAGATATTGCTGGAGCATTTGGGTATCATTGATTTTGAAAACATAAGGGGCAATTTTTTCTCCTTGAGCTTTCTTTAGAATGCTTCTAATAGTGCTGTAATTCTTTGGTTCCATAGTGGACTTAATGTAAATTAGTTTCATATTAATATTTTTTTATATAGAGATAATCCTATATTAATCCTGTTATGGTTTATATTCATCACATTCTGGTATGATAAAGGGAGCATTAAAATTAACAAGTCCATAAGTTATGAATGAGCACCATTATTATTTTTCAATCATCATCAGTCACCCTGGTCAATTTTACAGCCACAACATAATCAGCCTCTAATTTATGTCACATAATAGAATGTTCACTTTGTCTGGTTTTGTTGCAGCATGCCCCATATAAGCTTTATTATAGAAATTTTTTTAATTTTACTAGAAATCTTTAGAGTAATAAAAGTTTAAAGCTCTAACTTTAAAAATTTTTACTATTA